AAACTGATAGCTGCAATCACACAATCATCGTTCTCCTTTGGGTGTGAATTGATGAGACGAGACAGGGCATCCGCTTGACCGATTAGTTGCGTAGGTTTATACTGTATACTGAAGTCGTACGCCAGTAGTATGGTCGCCCATCGTTGCAATCGGTTTGCCGTAAAAACTGGAATTCCTTTCTTTGACCCGAATATCGACAGAAGTGGCTTGTGGTCAGTTAGAAGCGTGAAATGTCTGTCATACAGCATCTTATGGAACCGTTTCATTGCGAAAACGATCGCGAGCGCTTCCTTCTCTATCTGGCTATAGTTCTTTTCAGCTGCCGTTAGTGACCGTGCTGCGTGCGCGATAGCCTTCTCTCCTCTATGCGGAAAAACGTGGGAGATAACTGCACCGACACCATAATTGGAAGCATCCGCAGCAACGACAAGTTTGAAATTCGGATTGAAGTGAGTTAAAAGTATATCAGAAGTGAGAGCTTATTTGAATGCATCAAAAGACTTCTGGTACTCCTTCGTCCATTTCCAACCCATGTCTTTTATCAGTAGCTGGTTCAGTCGACCTCTGGTTTGGTGAAGGCTTGATAGGAAAGCGCTATAATGGCTAACGAGCCCAAGGAACGAGCGGAGGTCTGCAATGTCTTCTGGGGCTTCATCTTTTTGATGGCTTTAATATTGGGGGGATCCAGGTGTCGACCAGGTTTGTCGATGATAAACCCAAGAAAGTTGACACTTTCTAATAGGAACTCACATTTTTCAGCCCGTAATCGAAATCCAGCTTCTTGGAGACGCGAAAGCACTCTCTCCAGTGTCTGTATCAAGTTTTGCGGATCTGAGCCCATAATCAACGCATCGTCCAGGTATACTGCGGTATTTGGGATATCGCTCAGCAGAGTATTCGTTATTTGTTGAAATATGGCCGGTGCGGTTTTTACTCAGAACGGCAGCCGGTTGTACTGAAATAGTCCGAGATGGGTATTTATTGTCAGTAATGTTCTGCACAGATGGGCAACTGGGATTTGCAGATACGCATCAGCTAGGTCAAGATTTGCGAAACATTGTCCCCCATTGAGTTTGCTGAACAGGTCTTTTGGTACCGGCAGGGGATACTGATGATCTTCCAACACAGAATTCAAACCTGTCAGGAAATCAGCACAAATACGGACTTTACCGTTTCCTTTATTTACCACAACGATAGGTGCTGACCATTCTGAATAATGAACTCGTTCGATTATCCGATCAGATTGTAGTTGGTTTAACTCGGCTTCCACTAGGGACTGGGTTGCGTAGGGCACCGGGCGGCTTGGTCTAAAAACTTGCTTGGCGTCTGGGTTAAGGTTCAATGCGGCAATAGCTATGTTGCAGCATCCGAGACCAGGTTGGAACAATGCATCGGGAAGTTGTTTTATCTCGGTAATCTGACTTTGAAACATCGGGCTTCAAGTCGACGATTGCGATAGCAGATTGCCTTGCGGTGGTTGACATATACTGTTCACTGACTGATCAAGCAGTTTCAGTTCATCCATCCAGTCGATCCACAACAAATCTAAGCCCGGCTGGTCTGTCACGAAACATGTCGTCTGGATTTGTTTATCGTGGAAGTTTACCTCACATTTCAGTTCACCAAGCAATTTTAAAGTACCGCCTGAAGCATTCCATGCCGTGTGGCCCGTTTGTATGAGTGTCGGTCACCCAAGCATGCACCAAGTGTCGCGAGATATCAAGGAGATATATGAAGCCGTGTCGATTTGTAACTTGACTTGGAAGCCGTTGATTTGCACAAGTGTGTAGTTGCGCTTGCTGGCCGCGCCAACCTTGAAAGTTGCAGTGATAGACCTGCTCAAATTGAAGCGACGGAACCATCTAGCATTGTTACGCATCTTCTTTGCCAAAATTGGACGACTCGACAGGCAACATGACTCCCTATGCCCTCTTCTGCTGCAACGGTTACAAGTGTGAGTTTTGAATGAGCACTCGCGGACAAAACGCAACTCTACAAAACCAACATGCAGAAGGAGGTTTAGAATGCGGTGAACTCACGTGGGATGCTTCATTTTGGGGAATACGGCTGACTGCACAGACAAAATCTTGATCGTTCTGATTGGACAACTGCTGAATCATTGCGGTGTCGTGCGTCAAATCCGTCATGGGTTGGCACTCACCGGTCACTTGCTGCAACGTGACATCCGGATTCTGCTCAATTTTGTTCAGTATTCTTGTTCGAATTTCGGCGTCTTTGGATGCACGTGGGCCACAAAGATATATGAGACATTTAAACTGATCACTTGTCAGCTTGTGTAGTTGTGACCGTTCGTACTCTCGATTCACACGGCTGGAGTAGTCGACCCAGTCTTCGTCTTCATTTTTTTGTTATTGTCAGACACTTGTATCGGAAGTTAAACAAAGATGTCTGCTCTCCGAAAATTTGCGACAGAACTGCGACCACTTCATCTAACGATAAATCGGTACTCTTTTTAGGTAAGATAAAACTGGTGTACTTCTCGTGTTTGGCAGCACCCGGCTGCCGCAGCATTAGTCCAATTTTCTTTTCCGCTGGAAGGCTGGCCAAATCAACCCGGAACATGCCTTCATACTTGCGGAACAAGAATCAAATGTCATTTCGGCATCAGCGTCATAATGGAACTCACTGATCTGCTGAGTCAGGGTTTCTGGTAATGGAGCACTTTCACTTGTCCTTAACTCTGGGCTTGACTGCACTGTCAGCTTCTGTTAGCTTCTCGATCAGCTTGGCCTGTGATGCTTCAAACTGTGCCGGTTGTTGCCGCAAAAGCATCTTCAATTGTTCAAAGCTGACTGCTATTTATGGGTTCAGATGAACTCGTGTCGCCACTGTTATAACGCTTCTTCTTTCTCTCTGCCACTGACAACTGGTGTACTGCTGCGAGCTGCCCTATGAGACTGCAATTGTATGACTTCTCAGTCACGCGCAAAGCCAACCGAAGGAATACAAAAGGCCAGAATTCGGTAGACAGGGAGTGTAGCTACAGGATAAGCTAAGTCTATTTATTGGCAACCGAAACATGCCAATTTAGGAGGTCAAGGTCACTCACTATTCCGCGTCTGGTTTCCAGCCAGTGTGAGTGAGTTCCACTCCACGGGTTAATCATACTGACGGAATAGTTCGATTCTTTTGACGCGGGCCGCTATTTGCTGGCCGATCAATTCTTACTCGATTCCCAAATTCAGCTCCACTTGCGTCTTTATTAGAAAGTGGCACCAGATATCACGAGGGGATTATGAACTAGTCAAACTCAACAATTAGCCTGAGGTTTGCTGGCACTGCTGATGGAGAATTACTGCCGCCATATGTAGTGTACAAAACCGAAAACCTTTGGGACACGCGGACGGAGAATGGTCTGCCAGGCACATGATATAATAGGTCAAGGTCAGGTTGGTTTGTAAACACCTGTTTTTTAGACTGGTTTCTGTCGGAGAAAAGCTGGCCGTTGTATCCATTTTTCTTTTGACATTGTCAGACTCTGCAAAGAAAACAATATTGCTGCTTGCGGCCTCCCACCTATCTAACTCAACCCACGTGTGCCAGCCTCTACACCATTTCTTGGTCAGGTTGTCCTCTTGGGCAACAGAAATAATCTGAGGGAGCATTCAACATGAGTCTACTCACTTAATTTGCTCCGTGCGTAGGAGCTGAAGCGTTCTACCTGCTTAGTGCGTCTGAAGTCCAATTGGCTGAAGGCGAAGGGGCATACACGCACACTTACACACCTGCACAAGTGACTGGCGTACGCACGGAACAAATTAATTGAGTAGACTCATGTTGGATGCCCCCTCAGATTATTTTTGTTGCCCAAGAGGATAACTTGGCCGGGAAATGGTATAGATACCATGGGTGAAGGTATTGCAAGAAACTTGCGGTCAGGGTTTAGAAAACTGGCTTGTATCCAATAAAACCCAAGTCTGTCCTGAGCAGAGTTGCAGAGGAAAATGAAGAAGATGTAGATGCCATCAGCACTTCCGTTTCAGAGGTATTCAAGCAACAATTGAAAGACATGCGGTTTGCCACTGGTGAAAAAGTTGACCACAACGCAAGAAAAAAGCTCTGAAAGTTCAGTCTGTCTCTTGGGTCCAACCGAGGGGATTGTTACCGGAACGGAATCTTGTGCTGAACCAGAAAGTGACTCGGTAGTCAAAATTTATGTAAGAGAAGCCGTTACTTGACCTCCGTCGGTGATATCAGTGACAACCGAAAAGAAATCTGATTTTGATGAGTGTGTTTCACTATCAAAGAAGGTCTACCAAACTCGAAATATTTTTGAGAAATTTGTTTTAGTATTTATTAATGTTAACACATTTTGTAATTTTTTTTTACATAAAAAGGGTGACCAATCTTAAGCTTGTGTTGTGTAACCTTGGTTCTGTGTATGTATCGCCTGGTTGGCCAAAGTATCCTCGTTAAGGGGGGGGGGAACTTTGGCCATAGTAGATCATTGAAAACAACTGACTTAAGGGTAGAGAACTGCATCAGTTAATATTTTCGACAGCAGTAGAACACTATAACGCATGAACAGATCACTTAATAATGTTATCAAAAGCACTGACCACAAACAAAAAGTGGACCAAAGTTACCCGATTTCACGGTATCTTAACCGGAAGCTTGAGTTTGATATAGAATTGGCTGTAGTACTCACTCACTCAGAAGGGGCTGCAGCGAATGGACGTGTGTGTTGCAGAGATGATGGGGGTCAACCTGTCTCGTCACATACAGACTGAGTCGGTTTACTGTGAGAATCGAATGAATTGGTGTACGCGATAAGCGCCGGTATGTGGAATGACAAAGTGCACTGAAGACGGGTTAGCAAACAGTGACCCAAACAAAAATTAGAGACAGATAATGAATCAACATGAATTATACAAAGAGGTGGGCGGAACAGGCTTATGCGCCGGCTCGTAAACAAAAATTGAATTCTGAACAGTAAAATGAACAGAAATCAAAGTGAATAAAGCAGCTAAGAAGCTAACCTTCTGATGTAATGCCTTGAGTCGTTGAAAAATTCTCCACTGAGCCAGCAACTGAGCTTGAAGAGGGCCGGATAAGGATACTAAACGGTAAGAGCCAGCTGTTGAGTGGGGAGGAGGCGTCGGTTTCAGTGAATCTGGAGAGGCGGGAGGGGTCGCTTTTAAAGTTTGCGATTCGACTGTATCACCGGTTACGCTGTTCGTAGCCGCGTCTTCCAATAATTCAGCCAAAGGGCTATCCGAATTGTCAGCGCCCGTATGAGCAATGGTGGACAGGCCAGGTTCACTGGTGTAGTGCTGTTCGGATGTGTCGGTGGAAGAGTGAACGCTAGACGAGTCAACCGCGTTGTCCCCTGGATAAACGAGTCCGTTTGAGTCGCCTGTGACGAACGAACCCAATGAAGGATAATCAGAAGGTTCGTGTTGCTGACTAGTTTCATCAGTCAATGAAGGTGACTCATTGGAGACCGGAACACTACTCTCAGGAGGCACCTCTGAAGGGGTCGTGGGAGTATTCAAACTGGATACTGCCTTATCCGGATATGACCCAGGTGCCTTCCGATTGGCTTGGTTGAGCGCATAAGGTTCGTGTATAGGGGTCTGAAAGAGTAGATGGAGTTGGGACAGGATAGGTACAGAGTAGCCATAACGATAAATAGGTGCATAGCAAATAAATCGCAAAAAAGCTACCAGACCTAAGAGATGATGAAGAACAATAGAAGTTCCGTTAGCTATACAAAATTACGTAACCTGTGAAGCGAAAAGAGGTTCCTTTTAGACCATATCACGAAAACAGGGAATGACTTTAATGGGCTAACGCAATCGTGAACAGACCAACGTCAGTGCTAGAAATACCGAACGAATCGCTGAGAAATTAGAATTGTTGAACTTGAGTGAAAGAAGTGGGCAGCTGCACATTCATCTCCAGACTGTAAATAAAGCGCAGTAAAATAACTGTGATCGAAGCACCACCAACCGCAGTAGTAATTTAACCCGGTGTTGCATTGCTATACGACAAGAGCACTCTACTAATGAGGAATGTGTAGAGATCGCGACCTGGTGCACAACCTAAATACATTGGACGTACATTCGAAATCAGGACGTTGACACCCCTTGGCAACGATGCACAATCACAAACAGCTGGCTACCGTGTGACGGCAAGACAGCGTTGGGGAGACAGCTCCCTTGCTCACCGTCACATTCATAGTCGAACACCCACGAGTTGAACGTAAGGTTTGGTCAAGAGAGAACATCAATGATGCCATGATGAGACAGTTCCTGCAAGCACGGGGTTAACTGCGTGGGCCTCAGCCTAGAAAATACGACGGAACTGTAACCACCATCCGAATGATCCGCGATGAATGCTCACTTCAAAGCTTAAACTGTCTAACATCTGACAAACAAGGGCAAAACCAATTTTGGCGAGTGAGATGTGGATACGGATAGGCTGTACACAAATCAATGCAGCTTATTCAGTCTCATTTGCGGAGCTAACACGTATCATGATAACCGCTGCTTGGTAACGGCACGCATACCTCAGTACTGCCGACATGTGGGTGCCACCGAATACCAGTAATATACAGCAGTCAGCAAATGGTTCAAGATCTGAGGACGCTTAGTAACCGGAGGGAGGAAGGGTGAAGTATTACTGCCATAGAGAAACGCAGTCCCATGGTGGTCCTGCACACTCGACATATAAGACCAAAAGAATATATTTTTTGGCAGAGGTTGACTTCAACGTCAACCGACGCCACCAGTGAGACTGCGCGTCGCAATCCAAGACACACGGTGGGTGTTCCAAAAACCCGAAAATCTACTTCTAACCGCTGTGTCAAACACTGCTCGCGGAGCTCAATAGCCTAGTGATCATGGCCATAGCCAACAAGCACTATGCGATGAGTTCCACTCCCAGCTCGGCTATCTCTACCGGATGAGTCTAAACAAAGAGGAAACCGTCGGTCGTGGAGTGCAGGGATGGGAGAGAGCCACACCGAAACCCTCCAGGACCAAAGGAAATTGTTTACTGGGGAAAAATGTGTCCTGAATCATTGTGGTCAGTTCCAGCTTTTGTATCATGCAAACCAAGTGAAGCAGTCGCACGCACATCATGGTTATCTCTGCTGCCAGGATAAGTAGACGAATCAATGACCTGACGTTCTTCGTCGTCAAAGTTCATAAGGCACAGGGTGTGCAAAACGCATGTCGGGGAAGGAACGACTTCAGAGAATTTGTCCGAGGTTGAATGCTCTACCTCCTGAATACCAAACAGTAAGATGAGGTCATCGCATACTCAAAATCGACCATTTGCCTCTAAGCAGCACTGCAATATATCCATCACGGGATCACTGAAAAAAGCAACACGTGTTGAAGTCTGCGACAACAATAAAAATAGATGAGGAAATGAGACAACCCTTGCTATCACAATGCGATCTATCAGTTGGCTTTAGAACCTGACGCAACCAGAAGTACTTTAGTGTACCGCTCGACTCGATCATATTCTACGCATGATAGATGAATGTTTGCCAAACCACGATGTATATGTGTGCGTAGACTGCAAAAAAGGAGACTGAGTGGCCATAGAATTGTTAATTAGGAAGAAAACAGAATCGCTGGCTCCTCTGCAGGTAGCACAAGGGGTAAGGAACTATGTTCATATCCGGTAGGACAATCCTATACCGGTGACCGATTTTGTTGCATATAGTTTGCAAGTGGAGCAGCCGCATCGGCATGGGGAAGCCACCGAGATGTAACATGCGACAGGTCATGATGAGATGGTTTCGCAACCGGTAATAAAGCAAAGCATAGAGTCCTAGTCTCTTGCACCGGTCTCCGTACGGCAAGCTCCGTGAACAGGGGATGACTCTGGCAGTGGCGTTTGGACCCATTCGAACTCTAGTGCTTCGCTTCGTGTAATCAAACAGTGGGCGGGCGAGACGTACCTTATCAGTAGTCTTGTGATCGAGGAGAAGAGGCGAATGGCAAGCTCTTCAGACCAAGTACAGAAGCCAAGTTTGAGCGCCCAAAGCCTGCGCAGTCAGTTTCGTTGTAATCTGTTTGGGATGTTCACGGACTTCAAATCGCAGCTAAATGCTTTACGAAAGGCGTGGGATGTAGCGGCTGGCCATAGAGGGCGTAGGTTCGATCGGCAGAATAAGATGCGCTATAATGCAGTAAGCCGCTGTCTCCCGTGGTTCAGTAGCATAAGCTACCGGCTGGTGGTGCAAGCCGCTCGTGGCCATTAGTTCGGATCCGGATGAAGCTGATGGATGCGCACTATTAACGTGCCCCTATAAGATGAAACGGCCGTCCAGTGCCTTTCCGAGCATATGGAGGATCACCTGCTTTGGAAGTTGCTGCGACGAACTCTTAATACAACTGGCCCGTGGTTGTCCACTTTGCTGAGGCCATCGTCTTTCGGAATCGACTTTACCACTGAGCATTTCCGGACGCTAAGCAAGGAACTTCCGGACAGTGATCTGTTGAAAACCCTAATGGCAGCGGACAAGATGATGGCCGATAACAATGTGAGAATAAGAGGATGAAAACTGTCAGAATCGACAGGTTTGTTGCCGTCAAGGTTAACGAGTAGTTGACTTACTTCTTCAATGCTACAATCCAGACTGTTGAGTTCGGTAAGCGTGAGACACGTCGAACCCGATATAGATACGTACTCATATGCGAACACGGAAGCAAAGTGTGCCGCAAACGGTTAGAGACTGTGCATCCGAACCCCCTAACACTGGTAGGTCAATGTAGTGTACAGGTGCCACTTCCTGTGAGTAAAGATTCTCTTCGAGGTCTTTACAAAGGCTGCGAACTGCCGCTGCTTGCTCGCTTTCGCACTGCTGCAAATATTTCGCTGTCTCTTATACGCCTTGAGGTCGTTGGCATATCCGGAGATGGGGAATTTGTCACAAAGGCTGCGCCGTTGCCTAGCTAGTTTACCATACTCTTTGCCAAACCAATGAGGTCCAACTTCCTGACACCTCAGAGGTACAAACCAAGAGCACAACAGTTACTTCCTCTTTTATAACTGCCAAACAGTCTTGCACATATGGCGCCAGCGGTGCAGACTAATCAACTTGCCCCATCGCTCAAGTCAAGCCGTCAAAGCCAGTTTTCCAGTAGTTGTATGCTAGCTTCAGCGGAGGGGAATGTGACAGATCCAGTTCCATGTCGGTTATGAGCATCGAGTGGTCGCTTGTTACCAAGTGCTCTAGGACCCGAATGTCGCGCACTTGTTGTTGTTCATAACTCGTTCACACGAAGTCTAGCCATGATGGAGACAAGCGTTATAGTATGCGTGTCGTCTTGCAGATGTGTTGTGTGCCGCCACATTCGTTGCGAGCACAATTACGACGAACATCACCTCAGTTTCACGATGTCCGGGGATGAGTAGAACTTCAGGTCAGAATACAAGCGAAAATGGGGATGAAGCATGTGATTTCGAAAATGCAATAGGCAATCTAAACGACTCAGTTGACTACGTCACACTGCACTCACGAGCAGCTCTTCGCGCCTGATATGGATGGGGTAACACAGTCGCTCACATAAGTCCCTGTCGCATCGCCGCGTTTTCATAAGTCTCTCAAAAGGAGAATGCAGAAGGTAGAGCGAGACGTCCCCACGATCATATATATATATATATATATATATATATATATATATATATATATATATATATATATATATATATATGGTTGGCGGCATCCGGTTTCGGATTTGCCTGTCACTGTGGCAAGCCACAGGACGCCTGCGCCTACAGAGGGACCATGGATGGCTTGCGCTGAACCACCCACAGCTCCAACCACATACCCCATATCCAGTGTAAACCCGAAGGAATAAGACCGGGAGGCATGCGGATGGGAACCACGTTTCATCAACGGAGCCGGCCCACACTCCTTCACAGGCAAACACAAGCACGCTGTATTTGGGGAATCAACCGCACACAAGGCGGTAGATGGACCATACTCCACTACACACTGAGTGCATGGAACCACTTTTCAGGCCTAACACGGTCACAAGAACCGTGCACCCCGTCCCCTCCAGCAACGACCAACTGTCTCCTGGAGCTAATATGAACGATGTAGTGGGTAATAGACAGGTAGGCACCTTGTCAACATACACATCAAGCGCAACCGTACCAGGGATATCAAACAACAGCCATTCACTTTAAACGACAAGCTGAAATAAAATAAATCCAATAATGCATACAGATACGGTGGTATAACTCTTCGCTAAATTACCATATGAAGTAAGTTAGTTAGCAACAAATCCGTGATAAGTAAGAAATGTCTACAAGTTACTTAAAATGCTACAAACGCAACAAAATTACCGAAGATAAGCGCAATTAGTGTAAGCAACGTGGCCAGTTAATAGAACATTATTCAGGGAGGCAGAACAAACCAAATAGAGCGGAATGAAATTTATCCAGCTTAGAAAGACCTAGTGTAAGTGTAAATTGGTTTAGCCCAACTGCGGTGAAGAAGCAACAAGAATGCAACATCAGCCTCAGCATGGGGCATATATATATATATATATATATATATATATATATATATATATATATATATATATATATATATATATATATATATATA